CTTAGGCTTGAAATGAATGTATTTGGGGTACCAACATTTTGGGTTGGTCTTTGTTCTTGTGTTGGTTGATGATATCAATAATTTTGAGTTGTAAAATTTTGAGACTCTGCTGAAATTTACATTTAAATTCAATAATATTGCATTTTAATTTCAATTATTAGCGTTAGCATATTACTTTATACCACTAGCAAGGAAAACAGGTACTACAAACATATACAAGGCAATTATTATAATTTTAAAAAAAAAATTCACCTCATTTGCGTCACTCATTAAACAAACAAGTGATGCAAATACAACAATTTTGTATTGTCTACTCAGTCATTTGCGTCACTCCTATATAAATAAGTGACGCAAATAACAAATAAGAAGTTTATCAGAAGAGTCATTTGCGTCGCTCTTAATAAAGGAGTGACGCAAATAATAAAAAAGAAGTTTATCAGAAGAGTTATTTGCGTCGCTCCTTTATAAAGAAGTGACGCAAATAAGAGTCATTTGCGTCGCACTTTTATAAAGGAGTGACGCAAATAACAAAAAACAAGTTTATTAGAAGAGTTATTTGCGTCGCTCCTTTATAAAGGAGCGACGCAAATGACTCTTATTTGCGTCGCGCCTAGGAGCGACGCATATGACTTTTAAGTCATTTAAGTCGCGAGCAGTTGCGTCGCTCATAGAAGCGACGCAAATACACTATAAATGAGCGACGCAAATAAGCCTTTTTCTACTAGTGATTTAATGACGTTTGGAACCATAGATAACCATTATATGTTTTCATAAATGTCCGTGATAGGCTTGAGTTCAAGAAATCGGTGAATGTTTAGAACAGGCTAATTGAGCGTTTTAAGACAAATTAGATGGTTCCACCCACCCAATTGGACTCCTGGAGGGTATTGGGGACTATGGTAAACTTCTCGACAATTTTTATTTCCAAGAAAATAAAGGTCAAAAAATTTCAAAATTATTGAAGGTTATTATCCACGCATTTTAAGGAATTTTTGACGTTACGGGGTCCAGTGGCGAAAAGTCTTGAGACCCTAAAGGATACAGTTTAGGTTAATATAATGACGTTTGGAGCCATATATAACCATTAGATTTTGTTATAAATGTCCGTGGTAGGCTTGAGTTTACGAAATCGGTGCAAGTTTCGAATAGACAAATTGAGTGTTATAAGGCAAATTAGATGGTTCCACCCACCCAATTTGACTTCCGTAGGGTATTATGTACCATGGTAAACATCTCGGAAATTTTTCTTTATGGGAAAAAAAAAGGTCAAAAAATTCCAAAATTGAAGGCTATTATCCATGTTTTTTGAGGAATTTTTGACGTTACGGGTTCTGGTGGAGAAAAATCTTGAGACCCTAGGGGATGCATTTTAGGGTCATATAATGACGTTTGGAATCATATATGTCCATTATATGTAGTCATAAATGTCCGTTGTAGGCTTGAGTTCACGAATTCGGTGCAAATTTTAAACAGGAAAATTGAGTGTTTTTAGGCAAATTAGATGGTTTCACCCACTCAATTGGACTCCTGGAGGGTATTAGGTATCATGGTAAACATCTCGAAAAATTTTATTTTCGGGCAAAAAATGGTCAAAATATTTCAAAATTGAAGACTATTATCCACGCTTTTTGAGGAATTTTTGACGTTATGTGGTCCAGTGGAGAAAAGTCTTGAAACCATAAAGGATACATTTTAGGGTCATTTAATGACGTTTGGAACCATAGATAACCATTATATGTTTTCATAAATGTCCGCGATAGGCTTGAGTTCACGAAATCGGTGAGTGTTTAAAACAGGCTAATTGAGCGTTTTAAGGAAAATTAGAAGGTTCCACCCACCCAATTGGACTCCTGGAGGGTATTGGGGACTATGGTAAATTTATCGGCAATTTTTATATCCGAGCAAATAAAGGTCAAGCATTTACAAAATTGAAGGCTATTATCCACGCATTTTAAGTAATTTTTGACGTTACGGGGTTCGGTGGAGAAAAGTCTTGAGACCCTAAAGGATATTTTTTAGGGTAATATAATGACGTTTGGATCCATATATAACCATTATATGTTGTTAAAAATTTTTGTGGTAGACTTGAGTTTACGAAATAGGTGCAAGTTTCGAATGGACAAATTGAGTGTTATAAGGCAAATTAGATGGTTTCATGATAACTTGCTATTTGATATGATTTTAGGGTGTTTTGAACCTAGTTTACTTGATAAAATTTGCGTTTTGGTTCATTTTTACTGTATTATTATGCAATTTTTGTGTATCCTATGCTTCACGGGTTGTTGGTGTTTTTGTTGAGATTATAGGTTCAAAAAAACGACCAAATGGAGCCCATGGATACAAAGCCGAGGTTAGAAGCAAGAAGATGGTTAAAAGAAGCCAAGGAAAGGAGCAATATAGAAGAAAAGATGGAAAAAAGAGCTTAAAAGACCCTGCACGGCCGTGCCAGACCTTGCACGTCCGTGCAGGAGGTTCCAGAAAGTTTCAACAAGCTGCCAAGGCCTGCACGGCCGTGCTTAATTTTGTACATTATGGAAAATCCCACTCTTATATTCCTAACTAGAAAATGCAGTCTTATTAAAAGGTTTTTATCTAACATATCTTTTAGTCGTAAGGAGGATGTTTATTTGATTCATATGATTTTATTTGAAAATTTTGTACTTTATAACTTTAACAACCCCATATTATTTTGAACCAATAATGAAACAATCTCATAACAAAACATAAGATCCACATGAAATTTAGCCATAACATTTACATATATATGTCAATATCGATCTTAGGATCATTTGAAACTGGAAGAAAAGCTCTAACCAGCTATATCCCTCAGCTCAATTTCTCCGCCCATCCCTCATATAAGTTATATCCTTGCATTGGTTTGAAAAAATGTGGACCTTCCAAAGTTACAAGTATTGATATTCATATGGGACCAAATGAGATGATAACAATATACCTATCTATCATCACATTAATGATAAGAGAGAATATATGCAAAAGTAAATAATAAGGCTAGGTAGACAATTTAAAGTGGAGAATATATGCAAAAATAGTGCGTGAATTTCTAAAGTAGAGATCGAATTCAATACACTACGGTTATGAAGAAGCTAATAGGAGTACAACAAGTATGTATAAGGTAAGGATTTGTGTATAAATATGCAAAGGATGGGTAGGTAATTGGCGCAGTGCAACACACAAGCTTCTGATCTCTAGCATACAAATAACCAACATCCGAACTTCCGATCAAGGTAATGTCATGTATATCATATACATAGAAGAGTCTTCATATATATAGTATGCATTTATATTTGTTATCAAATATATTAAAGCAAGTCATCTATATATATATATATATATCGGGTTAAACTGAATTACTAATTTGCAGTTAAAATTTGTTATAGGTACTGAAGGAAAAAAATGGCCTCAGCACAAGAAACAGTTGTGATGAATGCACAAGACAAAGAGATTGTGGAGAAGATGGTAGAGGTGGCGAAAAACATTGGGATGAAACAGAACAATGGTGCAGCGGCCAATAGTCAACAACAAAACAGTGCAGTCGTCTCGATGATGAACTCCACCCCTGGAAGGGTTAATTTTTCAATGAATCAGGATTGGCATGGGGAAGTGATGACTGGTGAATATCCTTCGGTCATTGATGTCAGCAAAGGCGACAGCTTTACTCATTCGGCGACAGATAACGATGGATCCAAGGGAGCCGTAGTGTACTTGGGCAACAACAGTACTGCTAAAAGTTGTGCATGGCTATTGGCTTGGTCTGCTCCCAAATTTCCCACCACCAACAATCCTAACAAGGTTTACGTCAAATGTGGCGATGCCACTGATTTCCAGAATATTAATTGGAACCAAATCGAAGCTTCTCTCGACGTATCATCCACTTTCTCGAGCTTCATGGAACCAATTACCAAGACCACCTGCAGTGCTAACATCCTCCCTGGCAAAAACTTCGCATCTGTTGGTGCTAATTTTGGAACTATGTAATTCTACGTACTTTCGTTCGTAATTAGTATGCATGGCTCACTCATCATAATTAACATGCATGCATGTATGTACGTGCTTTAATTATTTGTTAGTTAGTTTCTTTCCTAGCTAGCTAACTAGCTACGTACCATGCATGCACATCTATGTTATATCTATTTACTACTTCAATAATAATGAGCCCTACGTTATTATTAGTTTCATGCTTTTATCCCTAATTTTATTTTCTCTTTACTATACTTAGGGCCTGTTCTCATTTACCGAACTCAGCTGAACTGAACTGAACTGAACTGAACTGAACTGAAATGAATATTTTATAAGAGAAGGAAATTAGGAGCTGAACTGAACTGAACTGAATTGAATTGAATTGAATTTCAACGTAAGAGAACAGACCCTTAGCCTCTAATTTTACCTTTGTCCATCATTTTGGCTAGACATGCATTATTACACTTGGAACTTTTACTCATTACTACGGTTATTGCTTGCACTTTGATTTTCTATTCAAGGTGCGTGTCACTCTTTGCTCTAAAGTGTGGGATGAGCTCAGTAATGCATATATGATGAATTTAGAGAACTCCTCTAGCAGCTAGGTAGGCTATCATTAAGGCAAGGGTCGCAGGACCAAGTGCGTGAAGCTAATCAAGTTGCTAGGATGACTAGATAGAAGCCGGAGATATCAATGGCCTTTTGTATTAGGCCTATGTTGTAACCCTTATAGAAATACATATAACAAAGAAAAAATTGACACTATGAATCTTTACCTTACTAAAATTATACTTCAATCATTGATTAGACCGAGTATAAAATACAGGGGACATAATTTGAAACAGGATTCTCCCCAATTCTTTCCTTCAATTCTCATCTTCAAACACAACATCTCATTTAGGAAAAAAAAATTCCAAACACCCCGTATAATTTTCTTCATCCTTAAATTTAATGTCGTATTGAGAGTAAAAATTATTCCGATAATTAAAAGAAACCGAAGAGGAACCAGATGGTGTTCAATATCATGTCGTCGCACCATTATCCTTAATAAGAGAAACTGTGGCAAGACAATTACTAACCAATTCAGTCAATTTATTTCCATAACCAACCAAGGGAGACGTACCACCACTTTCTTGTACACCATCATCACACGTACCAAAATCCGAAATCGTGGCGCTTAACATACTATTAATAGTACCAATATCTTTGGATTCAAGTGCTTTTACAACCTTATCTAAATTATCCAAAGCATTATCGTACATCTCCTTGCAATCTCTAAGGACATCCATATCATTATCGGTTTGCCCTAATTTTTTAGTACTCAAGGCTAGGGCAAGTTGCGTGGCTTGTTGCGTCGCTTTAACTTGCATCCCAAGTAAAGAGAACGTGTCCGTTTTTTTTAACACCATTATGTTATTATGCATTAGGAATGGCTTTAAGGAGGAAATGCAAAGGTCAGGATTATCCGTGGCATCACAAGTTTTCTTTACGTCCGGGTTATTAGCCGCCGTGTTGGTGGTGGTTAATGATTCTTCTTGTTGATCATGGTTGAGGTCAAAGGGGTTGAAGGTGATGGGGAGATCAATTGGATCCCCATCGGCGTCTTGCATGGCGATTGGGGCGGAACTTGGTGAGAGAACGTACGAGGGATCATTATAAGGGGCCGCGGCAATGGATGGTGACGGTGATGGAGGGATAACAAAGGCGGTTGTTTCTAATGATGTTGGTGGTGAACTTGGAGATATTGTTTCGGATAAAGATCTACATTGAACTTGATAGATGAAAGCAAATAAGAGGGACAAAATTGATAAGATGAATATTGGTTGCATTATCATTAAAGGTGATAAAAGTTTATTAGGTTACTTTTCAAGCAATTTAATTAGGAAAAGTTGGTGAGATATTTAAGGTATCAACAAAAAAAAAAAATTATATATTTTTTTTTATTATGTTAAACGGTTTAGAAAGCTAAGGTAGTAGTTTGAAAGTTTTAATGTGTTGTTCTAATTTAGATTAATGGTTAAAATGATGAGGTTTATTTTTAATCGTGATCATTAAATTGGATAGGTGGTAGGAACTAAAAATATCTGTCCTATACCAAAAGTGGTGAAAATCAAACACAATATTTGCGCCCCGTCAATTTTGTTGTCATCGTGAACTGTAATAATGCAATCCTATCCTACCTTACGGAGTAATAAAAGTCTTACCATGCACCAACAATTTTTGGCGTAAAAATTTTGTTGCCAATGATATATAATTTGCTTTTATTTTAATTGTTTTACTATTACAACTCAATGTAAGGAGAAGAAATTTGACTAGATTATAAATCTAACAAGAGCGCCAACTAGAAGTGTGTCAAATTATTTTAGCAAAGTTAGTAACAATAAACTTTTATTAGTATTTATAAATAAAAAGAATAAAATCAATGAAAGGGAACCAAACAGAGAAAATAAAAATAGAATATAATTACTTCTCAGCTAATTTCCAGCCTTGGTCTAAGGGTACAAAAATAAAATACTACAATCGTACATACAAGATTTATAAAAAAAGATTCATGGAACACAAACAGTTATAATTATTGTTGGTTCATGCAAAAAAGTGAATAATATATATATATATATAGGGGAGGGATCCGGTGAGAATAGGTTCATATGTGAGAATTCATACTTATATGAGAACTGATCTACAATTTAGAACACGTGAGTAAAAATTTAGAACATACGAGTAAAAATTTAGAACATGCGACTAAAATTTAAATTTAGAACATATGAATAATAATTTAGAACATATGACTAATAATTTTGAACATGTGTGTGAGCAATAATATAGAACATCTAATTCAAGAATTAGAACATGTGAATTAAAATTTTAAAAAATTGCTTTATGAAATTTAGAACATGTGAATAAAAATTTTAGAACACTTGGTATAAAATATAGAAAATGGGAGTAAAAATATTGAACATATAATTTAAAATATAGAACATGTGAGTAAAAATTGGAACATATGCTTTCGAATTTTGAACATATAACTAAAAATCTTAAAACACATGCACGTTTTAAAATTTAGAACATAAAAGTTAAAATTTCGGAATAAGTCATTCGAAATTTATAACATCTAACTTAACTAATTTATGGTTTAGAACATGTGAGTATTAATTTAGAACATCTTATTTTAATTTAGAACACCAGGGAAAAAAGTTTAGAGTATCAGATTTAAAATTTAGAACATACGAGTAAAAATTTAGAACATAAAAAGTGTTCTCACATAAGGAAAATTCTCATATAAGAAAAATTCTCACGAGATTTAATAGGGAATAATAGTGGATATGAGGTATTAATAAGAAAATCAATGGAGATCGGATCAATGACTTCAAAAATTTTATTGTGAAGATCGGATCTGTGTTTAACCATATTCAAATAGCTAAATCAATCATTGTGTCTTTCATAACCATTAAACGTGTGAAACGTGTCTTTAATTACGGTCCAACGTAATAACAAGCAATCAGCACGCAGCATTCTTCAAACTTGTATTTGGAGTTGAAATAATAATAAGGTTTGGCTTTCCAACCAAACCTGTGAGGAATAGCTATTGATCGAGCTTTACAAATAAATATATTTTAAAATAAACTTGTTGACATGTTATCATTATATCTATACGAAGGAGAGTAATTTCTAGCTTAGGGCTAAAACAAACATGGTAAGAAGTGTCAAATACTGATCCAATCAATTCAAATCTACCTGAATAAAGCCTATATGATTCCAAACGACATTATATGAGCCCGAGATATATCCCCTAAAATCTCAAGCCTTTTCGACACCGAATCCCGAAACCTCCAAAATTTCTCAAAAAGCATGGATATTAGCCTTCAATTTTGAAATTTTTTAACTTATTTTCGCACGAAAAATTAAAATTGCAGAAATGTTTACCGTGGTCCCTAATACTCTCCGGTAGTCCAATTGGGTGGGTGAAACCATCCAATTTGCCTTTAAACGACCAATTTACCGGTTTACAACTTGCACCGATTTCATTAACTCAGGCATACCATGAACATTTATTACAACAAATAATGATTATATATGGTTCCAAACAACATTATATGACCCCGAGATATGTCCCTAGAATTTCTAGACTTTTCGACACCGGGTCTCGAAACCTCTAAAATTTCTCAAAAAAACGTGGATATTAGTCTTCAATTTTGGAATTTTTTGACTTTTTTCGCCCGGAAATAAAAAATTCCGAAAAGTTTACCATAGTCTCTAATACCCTCCGGGAGTCCAATTGGGTGGGTAGAACCATCCAATTTACCTTTAAACGACCAATTTAACGGTTTACAACTTGCACCAATTTTATTAATTAATTCAAGCCTACCACAAACATTTATGACAACAAATAATGATCATATTTGGTTCCAAATGGCATTATATGACCCTGAAATGTATCTCATATAATTTCAAAACTTTTCAATACCGGGCCCCGAAACCTCCAAAATTTCTCAAAAAGCGTGGATATTAGCCTTCAATTTTGGAATTTTTTGACTTTTTTTCGCCAGGAAATAAAAATTGTCGAAATATTTTCCATGGTCCCTAATATCCTCCGGGAGTCTAATTGGGTGTGTTAAACCATTCAATTTGCTTTTAAACGGACAATTTGTCGGTTTATAACTTGTATAGATTTCATTAACTCAAGCCTACTACGAACATTTATGACAATATATAATGATCATATATGGTTCCAAACGGCATTATATGACCCCGAGATGTATCCCCTAAAATCTTAAGCATTTTCGACATGCATCGAGCTTGAAATCTCCAAAATTGGCCGTTTAAAGGCAAATTGGATGGTTCCACCAACCCAATTGGACTCCCGGAAGATATTAGGGACCATGATAAAATTTTTGGCATTTTTTTTTCCGGGCGAAAAAAGTAAAAAAAAAATTCCAAAATTGAAGACTAATATCCACGCTTTTTGAGAAATTTTAGAGGTTTTGGGGCCCGGCGTCGAAAAGTCATGAAATTCTAGGGATACATCTCGGGGTCATGTAATGCTGTTTGGAACCATATATGATCATTATTTATTGTCATAAATGTTCGTGGTAGGCTTGAGTTAATGAAATCGCTGCAAATTGTAAACCGGTAAATTGGTTGTTTAAAGGCAAATTGGATGGTTCCACCCACCCAATGGGACTCCCGGACGGTATTAGGGACCATGGTAAACATTTCGGCAATTTTTATTTCTGGGCGAAAAAAGTCAAAATTTTCAAAATTGAAGGCTAATATTCACGTTTTTTGAGAAATTTTGGAGGATTTGAATCCCGGTGTCAAAAAGTCTTGAAATTTTAGGAGATACATTTCGGGGTCATTTAATGCCGTTTGGAACCATATATGATCATTATTTGTTGTCATAAATGTTCGTGGTAGGCTTGTGTTGATGAAATCGGTGCAAGTTATTAACCGGTAAATAGGCCGTTTATAGGCAAATTGGATGGTTCCCCCACCCAATTGGACTCCTGAAGATATTAGGGACCATGGTAAACATTTCAGCAACTATTTTTTTCGGGCGAAAAAAAGTCTAAAAATTCAAAAATTAAAGGCTATTATCCACGCTTTTGAGAAATTTTGAAGGTTTCAGGGTCCGGTATCGAAAAGCCTTGATATTCTAGGGAATAAATTTTGGGGTCATATAATTTCGTTTGGAACTATATATGATTAGTATTTGTTGTCATAAATGTTTGTGGTAGGCTTGAGTTAATGAAATTGGTGCAAGTTGCCAACTGGTAAATTAGCCGTTTTAAGGCAAATTGAATGGTTCCCAACCACCCAATTGGACTATCGGGGGGTATTGGGGACCATGGTAAAAATTTGAGCAATTTATATTTTCTAGCGAAAAAAAGTAAAAATTTTCCAAAATTGAAGGCTAATGTCAACGTTTTTTTGAGAAATTTTTGAGGTTTCGGGGCCCGATGTCACAGAGTCTTGAGAATTTAAGGAATATATCTGGGGGGTCATATAATAATGTCATTTGGAACCATATATGATCATTATATGTTGTCATAGATGTTAGTGGAAGGCTTTAGTTAATGAAATCAGTGCCAGCTGTAAACTGGTAAATTAGCTGTTTAAAGGCAAATTGGATGGATACACCTACCCAATTGAACTCCCGGAGGGTATTAGGAACCACGGTAAAAATTTCGACAATTTTAATTCCGAGCGAAAAAAATTTAAAAAAATTCCAAAATTAAAGGCTTATATCCACGCTTTTTGAGAAAATTTTGAGGTTGGGGACGTTGTCGAAAAAACTTGAGATTTTAGAAAATACATCTCGGAGTCATATAATGCCGTTTGGAACCATATATGATCATTATATGTATTGATAAATGTTCGTGGTAGGCTTGAGTTAATGAAATTCGTGCAAGTTGTAAGCCTGTAAATAAATTTGTCGTTTAAAGGGAAATTTGATAGTTCCATCAACCCTTGGACTCCCGGAGAGTATTAGGGACCACGGTAAACATTTCGGCAATTTTTATTTGCCGGTGAAAAAAAGTCAAAAAATTCCAAAATTGAAGACTAATATCCACGTTTTTTGAGAAATTTTAGAGGTTTTGGGGCCCGACTTTGAAAAGTCTTAAAATTTTAGGGGATACATCTCGGGGGTCATATATTGCTGTTTGGAACCATATATGATCATGATTTGTTGTCATAAATGTTCGTGGTAGGCTTGAGTTCATGAAATATGTGCAAGTTGTAAATCTGTAAATTGGTCATTTAAATGCAAATTGTATAGTTCCACCCACCCAAAGGGACTACCAGATGGTATTAGGGACCATGGTAAACATTTTGGTATTTTTTTTATTTCGGTCGAAAAAAAGTCAAAAATTTCAAAATTGAAGGCTAATATCTACATTTTTTGAGAAAATTTAGAGGATTCTGGGCCCGGTGTCGAAAAGTCTTGAAATTCTATAGGATACATTTCGGGGTCATATATTGCCGTTTGGAACCATATATGATCATTATATGTTGTCTTAAATGTTCGTGGTAAAACTTGAGTTAATGAAATCGATGCACGTTGTAAACCGGTAAATTGGTCGATTAAAGGCAAATTGGATGGTTCTACCCAGCCAATTGCACTACCGGAGGGTATTAGGGACCATGGTAAACATTTTGGTAATTTTTATTTATAGGTGAAAATAAGTCAAAAAAATTCTAAAATTAAAGGCTAATATCCACTCTTTTTGAGAAATTTTGGAGGTTTCGGCCTCGAAGATGAGTCAAGTAGGTACGTGAGTTGGTCAAATGTGGTACGAAATGGCCAAATCTAAGATGAGCCGTGCACAATCATTGATTGGGTTCGGGTTTTAATTGAATGAGCATCATATCATTTTAAATTTTTTGCATGAAACTGGTACAACCTTGATGACAACCTACATGGTAGTCCGCTTATTTTTTTTACCAATTCACATTAAAATAAAATAGCCATTGGCATTATGTGTGGCCTTGTCCAACCCATTGATCTAGTTGATCGTGTTTAAGTAAGAGTATCTTTTGACAAATGATGTGTCTCGTGCATTAGCGCAGTTACATTTTATTTATAGTGATACAAATTTTTAATTACAAATTTTGTTATATCTTAAATAATAATATTGCTACATGTGACTGTGGTGGTAATAATTTATTGTTCCTCTTAAATTCGACCATGAATTTTTCAAATATATTATTATACAAAGTACTAAACAATAGCTAGTACTATTATTGAAAACATTTGTAAATATCAATTAGGTTAGATGATTATACCCAAGATTGACATGGATCAAATCTGTTTTTGTAATATACCCTTGTAGTACTCTCTACATAAAAAAATTTAGATTTCACTTAGGAATTACTTAATTTTATTTACTTAAAAAACACACCAGCTTAGCATGCACTTAAAAAAAGATATTAAGTTAAGTAAATGGTCAATCGATAATAATTTTATTATTGTCAATAAGAAAAAAGTGTTACGTTGTTAGCTTGTACAAGCAATTAAAATTTTATTGCTTAGTTCGGTCGTTTACGTTTTATAATCATTTCATGAGCCAAGAAAAAAATGTTGCAAGTACACATTAAAATAGAGAAAATGCATACGAATATAATGTACTCCGTATTTATAATACATTAATAAAATGGTCAAAGGTTATACTGTTTGATGACCATTATACTTATCAAAGAGCTAATAAAGCACAATAACTCACCAGTTGAAACCTAATTAAGGCTCAACTCATAATTATTATTGTATACTCAACATGTAAAACCCACAATATAATAGCATATATATGGTAAAACCATGTTGATGATGTAGCTAAAAGAGCAATTGAAACATAAAACCACATTATGTTTATTTTATTTTTATTTTATTTTATTTATTTTTTATTTTACAAAAGAACTAAGAAAAAAACTAATAATGAAAATATAGCAATTGCCTACGACAAGCACATCCAGACAACCAGTGAGTTAGTGAAACCCAAGCCCGAGGAACTTTTCGGAAAAAACCACATTATGTTGTCACAATATATAGGACTTGCATGTTGCGCATCACTTGATCAATGTTATCAAGAGTTTAATTAACTCTGAGTAGTAATAATAGTCCTTTCATATTTCTCCAATGACTTAACCAACTCATTAAAATTCTTTCCATTGCCAAATCCACCACACCCACCCTTTTGATAAAACTTGCCATCTTCTCCTTGAATCATACACCCAATTCTTTGTATCACCTCAATGAATATAGTAAGCCTATCTCCAATAGGCTTTGTAAATGTTTGGATTATAACACCTTCATGGTCCTTGTCCACCTTAAGCCCTAGCGCCTCGCATTCTTGTATTTCCTCCTCCGTTAAGAAACCGCTAGCCACCGCCTTTAGTTTTTGGTAGTAATCGCCTTCTGGTGGTGGCATGAAGTCGAATAATGACGTCTTCTTCATCTCTCTTAGGGTTTTGAATATATCGTTAGTAATGAGAGCCAAGTGTTGCACTCCTGGACCGTTGTTACGTTTTATGAACGTCTCAATGGGACTTTTAATTGTCTGACCATACACTGGCTCGCTGAAGTTTAGGAAAACAGATTCGTCGTTGTTTGCTAAGAACACGGATTGGAGTCCGGATTCGGTGACTCCAACTAGGTCTTCGGCTGCAAACTCTACGAACTCGTGGAGACCGGTTATCCTCATTATGTATTCCATGACGGAGGCTAGCTCAGGCACGCTTCATGCGGCGTGGTCTAGGCTATTGAACCCGAATTCGGTTCCTGATCCATGTACTTGAGTAAAATTTGGGTAGAAAGTTGTTGCAAATAGATGTATGTGCGTGGCTGACCAATCGAAGGACTACATCACCGAAGAGATGGACCTCGGCGAGGAGGGTATGACCGTCCTCTAAGAGGATGGGAGGGGAGGAAGGGCGAGCCCCGGCTGCTACACTAGTGGCGTAGGCGGACTTTAGCATCGTCCACCTCAAGGGCAATAGCGCGAACTCCAAAACCCATGAGTTGGACATAAAAGAGGAGTGGGATTCATAGTTAAACGTAGGTATGGAGGCCGTTGGAGACGAAGATTGAGTGTAAGGAGCGGTGAAGAGGAAGCGGAGGTCACCGCTACGCAACACGTAGGAGGCGTGTACAAGGTTGCCGGTAGAATGGTCAGATTTGGCAACGGTAGGCATGCCAAGCCCCTTTAGAAAAAAGGAGGCTCGTGTTGGATGCGTCACCACACCAAAACTCGATGTGGTGGAACCTTTTTACCTTAAATTTATCTGATTTCGGGTTTTGATCGCACAAACTTATGAAAAGCTTTGTAGTTTAAATGACTTTTTCATGACTACCATCAACTTGATTTGCCATTTTTTTTTTTCTTGAAAACTCTACTATATATATAAAACTCAACTCCGATCCAAATACCAACTTATGATCGAGGTGATTACTTGTATTGAACAGGAATTGAATGAGGAAGTTTATTAATAGCTTAGAGCCTTTTATAGAAACTTTAGTACCCCATTTTTCTAACGAATGCATGATGCATGAAGCTTACGCTATGTTGTACGTTAGCACACAATAAGAAATTAAAGATTCTTTAAAAATTTTTGTCATGACTTACTGAATGATGGATCTAAGTTAACTCCTTGAATCCACTTTTAAAAACAAATTAAAGATCCACTTGAATTGTTTATATTACTAACAATAATCAAAGACTAATAAAACCTGCAAAATTTGTAGTCATATTTTTTAATCACATCACATGCATGTGATGCATCTTGCTTGGCCATGATAAAACTACCCATCTTTTGTAATTGCTTGTCTTCAATTTTCAGGAACTCGATTTTGATTCGATCTGAAAAAGCAAGGCATTTGAATTTCTAAATTGGGATAAAAAAAAAGTTAATAATATTATGAATTTCACATTAACACCTACAGAGTATCGATCTAAAAATGTTTTATATGATTATGCTGTATTGTTAATTTTTAATACTCTGTACATCAATAAAAATGTATAGTCAATGCAAAGTACTTTGTATATAAATGTTGATAATAGAAGGGTATAAATTATTTTAGAATAGAGGAAGTAAATAATACGAAAGTGTTTAGAGTTACGTATTTTACCAAGATCATTATTATTTAATCCGATTCTAAAAAAGAAATTGGCCGGATTTTTTTCTTCATCAACACTTTTGTTATTCGTATAGGAGATGTCTATTCCAAAGTTTAAAATTTAGTTACAGTAACATAATCAAATCGACCAATAGTTTAAATACAAATTGAAGTCCAAAATATAATTTACTCAATTTGCAAGGTTAAGCGTCATGCATCACATGATAATATTTACGTATAAAAAGACTTACCTCTTGAAGTTCCAAAAGTTATTTGACCAAAGCTTTTACTTGAATTAATTAATGAACTTTACATTTAATTATTCAGTAGTGTACCAACGAATGCCGTGTCGAAGAAACTTACTACTATAAAATTATGGGATAGTTTACAATAGCTATTATACAATATTATAAGATTTATAACCACTATAAATTTTCAATTCAAACCATACACTTTAGTTTTTAAATCCCTCCATCCATTCATTTGGTCGACTATATATACTTTGAAAATAATAATATATACTATAAAACCAAAAAAAAAAAAAAAGTTCTCTTGCTTTCTCTTTTCAATCTGGTGAAGTGTAACCTATTCAAACGAAACATATAAGTGCACCATATAGATAAATGGATTAAAAGTTCGTGAATGAGTTTAGCACTTTATAAAGTTAAAAGATGACTACTCTGGCCTCTTATTATTATTGCAAATGATTTTACAATTGAACCACCTTAGACTTGTAAAGTGGACTCACTTTTAATGATGAATTGATGGAATGATGGGTATAATCAAATATGACATAGTCCCATCCCATATATAATACAAAGTACAATTTCTTTGATTCACACTTAAATTAGTAGGCCACCATTAAATTAAATTCGACCATATATACTTGCCCTATTATGTTTGTAGATGTCAATTCGGGTGTATTGTCTAGATTGGGTTGGATCTATTTTTAAATTTGAATTATCAAACATGTTAAATTATTGTGTCCATACAAGTTGAGATTTTTGGGGATACATCTTGGGGTCATATAATGCCGTTTGGAACCATATATGATCATTATATGTTGTCATAAATGTTTGTGGCAGGCTTGAATGAATGAAATTGGTGCAAGTTGTAAATCGTTAAATTAGCTATTTAAAGGCAAATTGGATGGTTCCACCCACTTAATTAGACTACCAGAGATTATAAAGGACTATGATAAACATTTCGACAATTATTATTTTCGGGCGAAAAAAAGTCAAAAAATTCCAAAATTGAAGGCTTTTTGAGAATTTTTTGAGGTTTCGGGGTCCGGTATCGAAAAAGCTTGATATTTTAGGGAATACATCTCGGGGTCATATAATTCCATTTTGAACCATATATGATCATTATATGTTGTCATAAATGTTCGTGGTATGCATGAGTTAATGAAATCGGTGCAAGTTGTAAACCGGTAAATTCACCGTTTAAAGATAAATTGGATGGTTCCACCACTCAATTGGACTTTTGAAGGGTATTAGGGACCATGGTAAACATTTATGCAACATTTTATTTCTGGGCGAAAAAGTCAAAAAATTCCAAAATTGAAGGCTAATGCCACGCAAAAAGTCAAAAAATTCCAAAATTGAAGGCTAATGCCACACTTTTTGAGAAATTTTGGAGATTTCAGGCTCGATGTATGTCGAAAATGCTTAAGATTTTAGGGAATACATCTCGGGGTCATATAATGCCGTTTGGAACCATATATGATCATTATATGTTGTCATAAATTCGTAGTAGGCTTGAGTTAATGAAATCTATACAAGTTATAAACCGGCAAATTGTCCGTTTAAAAGCAAATTGAATGGTTTAACACACCCAATTAGACTCCCGGAGGATATTAGGGACCATGGAAAATATTTCGACAATTTTTATTTCCTGGCGAAAAAAAGTCAAAATATTCCAAAATTGAAGGCTAATATCCACGCTTTTTGAGAAATTTTGGAGGTTTCGGGGCCCGGTATTGAAAAGTTTTGAAATTATATGAGATACATTTCAGGGTCATATAATGCCATTTGGAACCAAATATGATCATTATTTGTTGTCATAAATGTTTGTGGTAGGCTTGAATTAATTAATAAAATTGGTGCAAGTTGTAAACCGTTAAATTGGTCGTTTAAAGGTAAATTGGATGGTTCTACCCACCCAATTGGACTCCCGGAGGGTATTAGAGACTATGGTAAACTTTTCGGAATTTTTTATTCCGGGGCGAAAAAAGTCAAAAAATTCCAAAATTGAAGACATTTATCCACGTTTTTTTGAGAAATTTTAGAGGTTTCGAGACCCGGTGTCGAAAAGTCTAGAAATTCTAGGGACATATCTCGGGGTCATATAATGTTGTTTGGAACCATATATGATCATTATTTGTTGTAATAAATGTTCATGGTATGCCTGAGTTAATGAAATCGGTGCAAGTTGTAAACCGGTAAATTGGTCGTTTAAAGGCAAATTGGATGGTTTCACCCACCCAATTGGACTACCGGAGAGTATTAGGGACCACGGTAAACATTTCTGCAATTTTAATTTTTCGTGCGAAAATAAGTTAAAAAATTTCAAAATTGAAGGCTAATATCCATGCTTTTTGAGAAATTTTGGAGGTTTCGGGATTCGGTGTCGAAAAGGCTTGAGATTTTAGGGGATATATCTCGGGCTCATATAATGTCGTTTGGAATCATATAGGCTTTATTCAGGTAGATTTGAATTGATTGGATCAGTATTTGACACTTCTTACCATGTTTGTTTTAGCCCTAAGCTAGAAATTACTCTCCTTCGTATAGATATAATGATAACATGTCAACAAGTTTATTTTAAAATATATTTATTTGTAAAGCTCGATCAATAGCTATTCCTCACAGGTTTGGTTGGAAAGCCAAACCTTATTATTATTTCAACTCCAAATACAAGTTTGAAGAATGCTGCGTGCTGATTGCTTGTTATTACGTTGGACCTTAATTAAAGACACGTTTCACACGTTTAATGGTTATGAAAGACACAATGATTGATTTAGCTATTTGAATGGTTAAACACAGATCCGATCTTCACAATAAAATTTTTGAAGTCATTGATCCGATCTCCATTGATTTTCTTATTAATACCTCATATCCACTATTATTCCCTATTAAATCTCGTGAGAATTTTTCTTATATGAGAATTTTCCTTATGTGAGAACACTTTTTATGTTTCTAAATTTTTACTCGTATGTTCTAAATTTTAAATCTGATATTCTAAACTTTTTCCCTGGTGTTCTAAATTAAAATAAGATGTTCTAAATTAATACTCACATGTTCTAAACCATAAATTAGTTAAGTTAGATGTTATAAATTTCGAATGACTTATTCCGAAATTTTAACTTTTATGTTCTAAATTTTAAAACGTGCATGTGTTTTAAGATTTTTAGTTATATGTTCAAAATTCGAAAGCATATGTTTCCAATTTTTACTCACATGTTCTATATTTTAAATTATATGTTCAATATTTTTACTCCCATTTTCTATATTTTATACCAAGTGTTCTAAAATTTTTATTCACATGTTCTAAATTTCATAAAGCAATTTTTTTAAAATTTTTATTCACATGTTCTAATTCTTGAATTAGATGTTCTATATTATTGCTCACA